ACTCCAGGGCCAGGTGCACTTCTTCTTGGGGCTCAGTAGTGAGGGGCTGGGCCAGGGGAGGAGCGAGCTAGGAGGTGAGACTGCTCACTCGTATGCCTGGCCACCTTTTCCTAGTGTCCCTGGATGCTGCCGGTGACCCTGCACTGTCTGAGCCAATGCTTAGCAGAGGGCTCTGGAGTCCAGGAGGGGCTCGGCCGGTTGAGAAGGCCCGTGGGGCACAGTCAGGTCAGAGGGGAGGGGCTGGCCCGGGCCAGGCTGGACTGGAAGGGGCAGAGAGGAGGCTGCCGGGCTCTGGGCTGGAAGGAACTGGGAGCCCAGGGGTTTAGGGGGGGACCCAGGCAGGAAGCTGTGTGTTGACAACAGGGCCACGTGTCCCTTCTTTCAGGTTGGACAGCCCCAGCTTGTGAAGAGATGGACTCCCCAAGGTGGGGGTTGTGGAGGTTGGGCGCTTCCCAAGGAGTAGGCACAGCTGGGGGATCAGGAAGGGGGAGGCAGCTCCAGGGTCGGGGGTCTGTGGGCAGGAAGAGCAGGTGGGGAAGGGAGCAGGGCTTTCCTGAAGCTCCAGGGCGTGCTCTGCTCCAGGCCAGGCCTGGCCACAGCTGGCTGGCTGTGGGAAGTGGGGCAGTAGGGCCAGCACTCACATCCAGGAGGGAAGGGGGTGGGGTGGGGCCCTGGGTGGCCGTGCAGAGACAACGCAGTGGGGTGCTAGACTGAGCACTTGTTCCTGATGAGGGCCCAGCAGCCTCACCATTCTGGGAGACTGTCCATCCCCCAGTCTCTTCCTCCGTCCCTGTCCCTGCTACCTGCTGGTCACATGGTGTGGTCTGGTGAGCACTGAGGGTGGTGGTCGGAGATGGGGCTGGGCACTCCGAGGAGTTCAGGAGCCCCATAGGAGGGAAGTTGGTGTCTGGGCTGACCGAGGGAGGCTCGGTGGGAGTGGGAGGACCTGGGGCCAGGGAACCAGCCGGCCTGCAGCTGGGATCAGTGAGAAGAGGCCTGGGCGCAGGCCCTGGTTCTAGTCACTTCCGCGTCCTCGGCCTCACCCTGTCCTGGAGGGGCGGGCGGG